GAGGGGCTCTGCCCAGCCCCCCAGCCACCACTGTGGGAGCACATAGCTCTCCGAGGAGGAGGTACTGGCTGTGACTTGGTGTCACTAAGTGTGAATTTATGTCTCCTCTTTCTCCAACTTCATCCACCTAAACAAAGATAAAAATTAAACACTCCCGAGATTTGTGTCATGGAACACTCAGGGTGGGGGCTAAGAGGGCTGGATTCCCTGCTGAGTGTAAGGGGCTACAGTGAATCCCCAACGAGAGCCTGTAAAGGGAACAGCACCGGCCCCACCGGACACTTAGGGCGCTGAGTCTGCATGATATTGAGCCAGGCTTCTGACCACAGCTCAGGGGTCTGGTCCGACCGGTTAGTCTTTGCAACCAACCAGCTTTGGATTCCTCAATCCCTCCCTGTGGTTTTACCTGAACTACCAGCTTCTGTATATCTGAAGACAGATGATGAGGACCCTTCACGTAAGCCGTTCACACAGCCCTGTGCAGGCCTTTGTGCTGCACATTCTGCCCGGCGAGCTGACCGAGGTTGGTATTTTACTGATCTTAGAAATAGTCTGGTTTCCTGATGCACTGTTTCACTGAACAAGCAACAGAAGCCACCTCTGGCTGATAAAAGCAAAAAAGGGACTTAATGAAAAGATACTGGGAGGGTGCATGGAGTGGCCCGGACCAGAGCTGACCCGGAGGCCGTAGGAGATGTTGGGGAGCCCCAGGTACCAGGCTGGACAGGGTGCTACCGGGCCCCCTGCTGCCCCAGCAGGGAACCCCGCTCCTGACACTCCACCTCACTGCAGTTTCATGTCCCGGCAGGGCCAGGTCACACTGAAGCCACCAGCACACACCTCAATGGGGGAGTTGGCCCCGTCTCAGCTGAGAGCGTGCCTGATGTGGGGAGAGGCCCAGTTAGAGGAAGGCAGTTCCCCTACTGTTCCAAGTTAACATGCAAGTCAGTGCCCATCACTCAGGAGAGCCAGGCTGGTCTGACCTCATTGTGGTGACTAGGCCTTCTGAGTTCACTTATTACTTTTTGGGTTGGAAG